CCGTTGTCGAAAGTATGTCGCGAGTGAGAGTAGGTTTTACCACAACAAGTGTTCAGATCGAGTGAAATAATGGTAGGCAGCCAGCAAGATTGAGTAAAGTAAAATACTGCAACGTAGTTTTCAAAACGGTGCCATGATGCCATGTAGGGAGACAGACTTGAGGAAGGTGAGGGCTAGCTAATCTTGAAAATTATCCTATACATGAATTACAACAGGTGGAAATACAATACTGCCTTCATACGAAATGTATCCGCAGCCAAAGACCTTTTGCTGTAAGCAACGGCTGACTCGGTCCGGGTAACATACAATAAGCCGAAACCAACAGGGCCAAGGATCGCCTCGCAATAGGAGAGGGAGAGCCTAGCGTATTAGAGACCGTAACAGTTTGGTCACATTATTGCGATTATTATTGCTGCTGTCATCATTGTTGCTTTCTGTGAGAGAAGTAAACAAAGACGGGCAAAAATTATAGGGGGGTCTTCGGCTTTAAGATGTAGCCGGCGTTTTCTTCACAACATAGCATATCCGACGCTTGCATCTGTATTCAATAATTCAACTCTATTTAAATTACATCTTGATTATAAATCCAGGCGAATAAAACAAGAAGAAGTTCTGAAAATAGATCTTGAGGACGCGGAGGGTATTCGGATTTAATTGCATTGGCCGAACACCAACGTTCGGCCAAGTTATCCGAGGTCGAAAGCTAGCCGAATCAGGAACACTGTTGTTGCAAGCCCCCAAGCGACGAAGACAGACGGGCGTCGGCCAAGTTATCCGAGGTCAATTCTTGCCTATTATTGAAGTTGCTGTTCATCGTCGTTCACTAGTATTGGGAGGCTTGGCTTCGGTCTTGAATAGAGTGTATTCATTAACGTGACACTTTCACACTTGGTTGCCATGTCACAGGCATTGGGCTTGCATTTGCCATGGACTAAGTGACGTCCTAATATGCTCTGTATTGCTTTCAACAATTGCGAGCCTCGCCTTGGCCATCACAGTTCCATGATGGCCAAGACTGCCTATCATCAAAACCAAGCGTCACCCAGTTCACCAAATCACCATGCCCACGATGCTCGAACCAAAGTCATTCCAACACGCGATACGCATTTATACGATAGTGCCCAGAGGCTTCCATGCTTTTATGGGAAGGTGTTTCTGCAACATTCTGTCTGTGTATGTGCCATGAATCGTTATTTGCAGGAACCAAACGCCCCTCCCCCCTTCCCTGCGACCTCCCAAAACTACAAAGACCATTACCTCGATGCAAACAAAGCCGGCTGATGCAAATGATGCTTTGAAACTGACGTGGGAATTTTCATACACTGGCAAATCGGACTAGTGTAGATTATAAACGCAATGCCGGCGACGACCGATCAGAAAGAGGCCTGCCAATCACATGTCAAAGTGTGATTCACCGAACGGCTCATCGTGGGCGCCTGTCCGAACGATGCCGCTCATTCTGTTTGTCTTGCGCGTGTCGATGTCATCAATGTCGTCCCAATCGTTATCCTTGTGATTCGCATCCCTCATGTCCTCCTCAACATAGCGATCAGCCATGTGATCATCGAGGGAACTCTCGTCCACATATGTGAAGCCTTGGAAGTTGGCTTGGACACTGGGCGAGAGGGGCGTGGAAGTCGCAAATCCGGTCGCAAGCTGTGCGGCCCGCTCGTTCAAGGACCCATTGGTGTTCAGGGCGTTCGTGAACTCCGGGTCGAAGTAAGAAACGTCCGTCTCCGACTTCAACTTGGGCTTGAATGGCGGTGTGATGAGCTTCTTGGAAAGAGCATCCCAGGATACGTCAGCAAAGAAAGGGTGGCGCTTCAACTCTTCCGCATCGTCCAGAGCACCCAGGCGATGCTTCGGGTTCCGGTTGAGCAGACCCTTGACAAAATTCCGGCCCTCTTGGGAGAGCGTATCACGTGGGAAACGAACCTTGCCGAAGGCAATGTTCTTGTACATTTGTTGGGTATCCTCGGCGTAGAACGGGCTCCAGCCGCAGCACATCTCGAAGACTAGAACACCCAGAGACCAGAAGTCGACCATCTTGGTGTATCCAGCCTCGTCGAGCAGGACCTCCGGCGCGAGGTACTCGGTGGTACCGCAGAACGTATTCGTCGTGTCATTCTTCGTCAGGTTGGCTTTGGAGAGGCCAAAGTCGCAGAGCGCAATGTGGCCATTGGCGTCCAACAGGATGTTCTCTGGCTTGAGATCGCGGTAGACGATGTCATTGTTGTGAAGATGCTGGATGGACAGGATGAGCTCGGCAATGTAGAACTTGGCGCGCTTCTCATCAAAGCGTCCTTCCTTCTGCAGATGCCAGAAGAGCTCACCTCCAGACATGTAATCCGTGACCAGAAAGAGGTCATTCTGGGTCTGGAACGAGAACTTCAAGCCGACAATGAACGGGGACTCGGACGTCGCCGTCCGCACCAGGATGTTTCTCTCGCCGACTGTGTGTGCAACCTCCTTCTTTTGTACGATGACCTTCTTGGAAAGGACCTTCATTGCGTAAATTCGCCCGGTATCCTTCTTGCGAACCTGATAGACTTGGCCGAATGTGCCCTTTCCGATCAACCTCAGGATCTGGAAGTCGTCCGGACCGTAGTGCTTCTTCTCGGTGCCGTGGAAGAGAGTCTCAACGTAAATCTCGCCGGTAGGCTTCTTGTCGGCCATAGTATCCGCGTTGCCCCGCAAAGAGAACCATCCTCGGACAAGACCATCTGACCCTGGCTTGGCTTGGAAGTCGACATGTCCAAGAAACTCTTCTCCGTTAAGTCCATGGTCGTAAACGGCAATGTCCACAAGCATATTGGATTCCACAACGTCACTGCATCATCTCTTGTCAGACGACCGTTGCTTCATCAAAACGACGGCAGGAATTCACTCACAAGACAGCCTCGGCATCCCACCGGGGGCTGGTAAACAAACGCTTGGTCCGGTTACGGAAAGAGTTGTATTCGCCAATGCTGGTGTTGCTGCTCTGTCGGCTCCTCATCGGGATCGCCATGGGCCGGCCTGAATCGCTCCCTTGTCGCTGGATAGGAATTCCACCGACCGCCTGTTGCGGTACAGACAGTTCGTCATCATCTTCGAAAGTCCTTGGCCCAGCCGAAATGAGCTCACTTCGCTGGAACGTAGCTACAACATACGGATCGCGGCTTCTGCGCAGGCCTCTGCCCTCCGTGATCTTGATGGTGAGTTTTCCTTTGAAGTTGGGGGCTCGCGCGCCGCCGGTCTGGGCGGAGACGGGGGTCACCTGGCCGCTGGCTTGCGAGTCGGCAGTATCACTGTTCTGTCTTGAGGAAGGCTTAGCCTCGGCTTGCGATGTTCGAGCAGAGGAGAGTGCTCGAGTAGGCGTCGGGGGGCCGCTCTTTTTCGAAGGAACATTAGTTAGCTTTGCAAGCCGATCAACAGAAGCTGACTCAGAGAAATAACTGCCAGAGTCGCCCGAGGGCGGCTGCTCGGTAGATGGAGAACTGGGGGTGACTGGTGAGGCTTTGCGATCGCTGGGGTTGGAAAGATGGGCGTGTGCGCTGGATGCAGTAACGACTCCCGACAACGGCGATGACATGGACTGGCTGGCTGCCCGAGACATCTGCGGAGCCTCCGAAACGCTCTTTCTGTGCCTGAAAGCGAGAGAAAGGGATGTCCGCCTCATGGCATCCGCAGCCTCACCACTCGCATCGCTCAATTTGAGCCCCCTCTCCGAAGGTGTCTGGGAACAAGGAGGTGTGGGATAGGGGTTCGTCTGCGGGGCCGCCTGCTGCGAAGACTCCTTCTCTTCCGGGAGCGTCATCCTCTCATGTGGCAGGAGAGGCAAGCCCTCGGATCTAGAGTCCTGCTCCTCCTCGGGGTTGGGCAACTGGTCCACCATCTTCTCGACGTGCTTCTCTTCCGGAGGCGAGGCAGGGCGTGCAGATTCAGACTCTCGTGCTTGGGCAGAAGACGACGATGGGTTGAGAAGATTCAGAGACTTGGAACCAACCTGGCCAAAATAGCTCATAATGCCCGGTAGGCGCTTGTCGGTCAAGTCAGGCTGCGGTGTGGCAATGCCGGAGCGAGGCGTGTCAGATCCAATCTGATCCACGCCCTCGTCGTCGCCCTGCCTACTTCGAACGTTAATACCAGCCATTCTCGCTATTTTGCCTTGAAGCCAAGGAATGCCAAGTGAAGAAATGCCGAATGCTGCTGCGGTCTGCAAGATTGTGCACCGAAAGTAGAGGAACGAAGAAAAAAGAAGAAGTGGAAAATTTATTTGTGAGAGAATCAAAAAAAAAAAAAAAAAGTGTCAAGGTTCGTGGGCAAAGACTGGGAATGGCCTCATGGGGGGAGAGAGCTTTATGGCGGCTTTCTGAAGAGTGACACCGAAGAACCACGCATTTCCAAGCAGGAAGTGTAGCTCTGTCTCTGGTACATCACAGACGGGAACGTGATGGTAGGTTTCCGCAGGACTGGGAATGCAGCGGTGCAGGAGAGGATGTGCGAAGGCCTTGAGTGGTAGGAGGGGGGGAAATTCAAAGCAGATTTCGATCCCGAGTGTTTCCAGGCGTGCAGTAATAAGGCCAGGGCTCGGAGGGTGAAGCCATGTGCTTGAAGGGTCTAGAGTGGGGGCAATGATGAGGTGCCTCCGCTGGTGGGGTCCAAGAGAATTCCAAAGCAAGCATCTTGCTGCAGACACTGACGGATCCTTGAACTGATTTTCGGGTAACTAGACGACCAGCGAGTCGGGCAAAGCTGCGGCGGCTGCACGGCGGAGGTCTGATAAGCACCTTCCAGGCAGGACGCGAGCGCCCCATCCGCGACGGCCGAATGGGATTTGCCTGTGGGAACCTGCGCTGGCCGTCACCGGCACGGCAAGTCGTGATGGCGTGGGTGCCTTTTGGTGCAGCCAGCGCCTGTCCCGCGATGCTGTCGCAAGACCAAGATGCCCCTCGGCCAAAACGAAGAGCAGCACAGCCCGTGCCACCGTACGTACCACCGGTCATTAGCTGCTTGCGTTCAAGCACTTGCCTGACTCGAAGCGCCGACCCTCTTTTCTGTGAAAGCCCGACATTTGATCGTGTTAGGGTCGCGCCAGCGGACCGCTTGAATCGCTCGGTAGTAACAGCTCAGCCCACCCACTATTACCCCTCGCCACGCCCAATGGCCCACGGCATGGCATGGCATGGTGGCATGGTGCAGCGCCCCAAGGCCCAAGGCGGAAACATTGGGGAGTCAGGGTCCAGCGCTGGCAGGCCCGGCTCCCTCGCCCACGTCCGAGCAGAGGCCACTGGCTAAATGGAAGGACCATCTCACAGGTCGTGTAGCCCCTGAGGCGAGCATGTTTCCCATGCTGTCTCTCCGCAGGTAGAGGCAGAGTTGAACCCCTAGCAACCTAGCTCACCGAGTGCGAGGCCGAGCAGGGTTGATAGGACCTCGAGATGCCAGGTAAAGGAGATGTGGGTAAAACCGCAGCAGCATTTTGGGGGTGGTGCAAGGAAGTGAGACGGAGACTGAAAGTGGGTTTTTTTTGCTTACCTTGACATCATCGCCTGCGTTGCCCGCCGAAGTAGGTCGTAGCCGCCCTCCGAGCCCGACATGTTGTGAACAGAGAGGGTAAAAGGCTGTCTGTCACTCAATGTCAAGTCTCTCGGGGTTGGGGGAAATCGAGGAACGAGGTGCAATCCACGGTGGAGGGACTGCTGATGGGCGTCCGAGGCCTCGTCTTATTTCGCAATCGGTGGTGCCGCCGTGGGGAAGGTGAGCTGGGTGAGGGGACAGATGATGGGATTGATGAGATGGAGATCGATGGTTGGTAGGAGGAAGCAGGCGGACCGCGCGCAGAAAAAAGCGGGCGGTGGGCTCAGGCTGGCTGGGCTGGCTGGACTGCTGGGCTGCTGGGCTGGCTGGGCTGGGTTTACTGCTGAAATGGGCCAGATCTAAGTGGTAGGCGTTGCCGCAAAGGTGGGGCCAGGTCTTTGTAGTGAGGTAATTCAGACGCGCTGAGCAGACTTGACGGTTTTCTGATACCGAGTGCAGCCGAATCGCACCCAAGCACCCGCACGTTTGTCTGCTTGCTTCGCTTGCCTGCCTGCTTGCCCGCTTGCTGAGATGCGGTGCACACGCAGGCGTTGATTCTGGCGGTGCTTCCCGATCTTTCTCTCCCTCTCTCCATCAAACCAGATCGGCGGGTGCTTGCTGCATCTGCTGCGGTCCTCCAAGGAATGTCCGTCTAGTGTTGCTCCTCTGGAGAGTGGATTCTGGGTGTTCTGCGTGGTGGGGAAGTCGGGCGCTGTGGCAAGCCTAGGCGACTGGGGGCGTACTGTAGAGAGAGATATAAGTGCAGCAAGCAGGGCTGTACTTGAGACCGGATGATGTCTTCTCTCGTTTCGAGCTGGCCAAGAGGCGTTCTCGTGCACGAGGTATGGCGCAGAGCGTCACAAATTTACCAGATGGAGGAGTCAAGTCTCTGATGGGGGAATCAGGTTCGTGCTGGGGTAATATCTGACAGAGTCCGTCAAGGTACAGACAGTATTTGCGACGTCGTCCGCGGCGTGGAAAAGCGGGCGCAAGGGAGCGTGGGGATATATCGATAGTAGAGTCTGACAAAACCCAAGGGTCTGGGCCGGCAGTCTATCGGGTCGATTCTCGCGGTCCCCTGGAACAAGTTCAATGCCACCATTCAGCTCCTGCGAAGGATTGGCGGATGTGAATGCTACGTAGACTAGGTAGAGCGCAGGGAGGTTCAGTCAGACTCCTGGCGAGAGCACTGGCGAGGAACATGGGACACCTCTCAATAACGAGGCAAAAAGCAACACCAGCAGTCAGGACTTGCGAAACTAGAGCCCACTCGTTTCTTATTGCGAGAGGCGAGAGATGTGTCGCCTCACGGCACCGAGCACGAGATTCTGCTTGGGATTGGATTCCAGACCGACCATTCATCTAGGGGACCCCCAACGACAGGATGTCCGAGTGCCTCGAGCCAGGCGCTGACTGAAGCACCTGATCTTGTCTCACTAAACATTCGATATCGAACCAGCCAACCGGCACAGCAAGTCTGCGCGAAGCTTGTTAAATGATCTCTGGCGACTGGCCTAGGCACCCGGACGACACGAATCATGACGTGGAACAAAGAAAAAGCTTGTGACCGAGCACCGTCGAGCTACGACCAGACCACGGCCGAAGGACCGATCTTCCTAGTTCCCAGCACAAACGCAGCAATTTCGTCCCATGTTGTTATTAGAGAGTCGAGACGGAACGGATGCCACCAGTAGGTACGTAGCACACGGCGAGTGGACCGTCGACTAGAACCAGGATTTAGACGAGCTGCTCATTTCTAGACGGCTTCCAGACGCTTGGGATGCCCGTGAGGTTCCATTTTCAGACCTCGCGTTACACGGCCTGCACAAGCCTACACCGACCAGCGGATTCCATCTGGCCGGCTTGTCGTTCGTGATGGTCGCCCGGCAATGTGACCATCCACAAAAAGGTTGTTCCCGCGGCTGCAATGGGGGCTGTCATGGCCCTTTTCGGCAATTGATGACCAATTTCGAAATGCTGTACAGCGCTCGTCGCCTTGAATAGTCAACGTGCAGCTGCACCGCATCTTCTGGGACCTATTCTGAGATCAGACTTCGCTGAGTCATCCTGGCCGCTTGGGCAGCACTAATAAGAAACATTTCCCATTCGCACAGATACGATAAATTTCACATGCTGCGTTCCTATTCTCCAGTCACCTCCAGACAGTAGTTGAACGGCGCGCAACAGCGCTTTCGAAGTTCGACTCGCCGATCCTCGACCATGTTGCTGACGATATGTGAACCGCGAGCGGAATCTTATATGCATGTCATTATTCGCACGTGTCGCCCATGGCCAAAATCCGCCGCTCCTGAATCCTTTCCTGTCGCTCGGGAACCCCCTGCCCACTGAATGTCAGCTTATTATTTGGTACAGCCACTTCGCTGAAAAGGCGGAAGCCGCCATCTATTGAGTTACACTGCAGCTCACTCCCAACCCCAAAATTTAGATGTAAGATCCGTGATACCGAATAGCATGATCCTATGTTTAGTTGGATTATTGTGACGCACGGATTCTCTGGGGCCGTTCGTGGCCTCCGCATCCCCCTTAGATTTGCGTCTTCTAAATAGGCGGCGGCGCCATTCAATCTGCCCCTGGATGCAGAAAAGACAAATTCTATTTCCAGCTTTCCCATGACAGAGGCAGAATTTACAATGCGGCTCTCGGGAACGTACGCCTCGAAATCACAGTCGAAGGTTCGCGCTTGGCGCTGCACGACTACAATACTCTTGCCTTATTTGCTCGCCTGCTCGGTGCTTCTCCCGGATGTCCAGTATATCTCGATCCACAGAAACCCACATGGCCTAAACAAACCGCCGGGTTTAGAGTTATATATAGTCCCATATTAACCCACTCAAAAGTCGTATCTCTGCCTCGGTTCACCGCCAAAGTCGCGATGGGCAATCTCCCCAATCATCCACCAGGAGAGAGGAGAAAGGGGTCAACGCCGCGGGTCAGTCCATTCGCCCGGAACACCGACTCGGCCCGGCCCCGGCTTCATTAGGGAGGTCCATTCTTCCTTTTTGCACCTGTGGTAGAACACAGTAATCCCATTGATTGATTCCCATAACTTATGGAATTTCGCACCCGAAACTCGTTGCCGATAAACGGCCTATCTTACGGAGACAATGGGATGATGTCATGCAACATCTTTCGCGAGGACCCATCTTAACGTGGCTCTCCATTTCAGCCCTGATGTTCACTAATTGGCCCCAGCCAAACCGGTCCTCACTGTGCGGGGCAGATAGTTATCAAGAACCCATCCGCCGCGATAGTACTATTGCGCAGATCTGTACCTTGTCCTACCCAAGTGTCCATGTACACACGCAAGCCTGTCATGATTGCTTCTGCTCGCTCACATGCCGCCGGATGTGCTCCCACCCGCTCGTTCGCATCGGATGGCTCCGGGTGCGCTCCCATCGTACGGCCGGGTCCCAACGGAACCAGCTGTTGAGGAACTCCTTTAGAGTTTGCGGGGCCATTCTCTTGGCGTTCTAGCGTGCCCCCAAGGCTCTCAGGCACGGCAACACAACTGGCCAACCGGGACATGCGGGCTGGTGTAGGTAGGTAGCACAG